ACTCGCTGGTAGCAGACGGGGGGGCCGGGGAGGAGGCGCCCCGCCGTAGAGACAGCAGCTGAGCAAGGCTGATGACAGCACCACGTGGATACCAGACGAAGGGTCTCTTTGACCTGTGGACAAGGGACCTGACCATTGCCCTGAAGATGCTCCCTCTCCACATCGCTGTCGACCACGGCAGACAGTCCCAGAGCTACCTAGGCCCCTTCCCCTCTCCTGTATGTCCACCCGTCTTCCCCCTTCCTAGCACCTCCCTCTGGGCCCCCACTCATTTCGTAGGGCACTGCCAAGCCTTAGGGATGACACACGAGGCTGGGGAGGTGACTGACCACTGCTGCCCAAAGACGACGGTGGAGAGAGCACAGCGAAACATCCCAGAGGAGTTCAAATGGGCTCTGGGGTCGTTTCCTGGGGTCAGCAGTTCTCAGCTGGGGCCATTCTGACACTCTCCCCGGGGCTTACCGGGCCATGTCTGGAGACAATTTTGATTGTTAGGACTGGGGCATGGGGTCCGGGACAGGGACAGGCACAGTGGGTTGGAATCTAGAGGGCAGAGGCCGGCCATGCTGCTAAATATCCCATAATGCACAGGACCACCTCCAGAGACTGAGCTGGCCCCAAATTTCAACAGCTTATAAACTGCATTTTTTTAGACAGATGTTTTTTAAAAAATAGGAAATTGGCCATTCATTATGAAGGGTAGCCTATTTGAGGGGAACTTTTCAAAAATAAAAAGTGTCAGAGAATCTTGCAGAGATTCCACGCCACTGGGCTGTGAAAGAAAGGGTGTCATTCTAGGCCCTGTTCTGTGGATTAAGGCTTAAACCCAAAGGTGACTCAAGGGTATTGAGCCTGTAGTCTTCTCAGGGTCAAGAAACTGGTCGAAATCACATGCAAGATGTCTGTGCATCTTTGGGAAGAATGTGTTCATAAGATTTTCAAAGGGAGAAATGGCCCAGAAAAGTCTGAGGATCAGGTGCCTCTTCTCTGACCGGCACTGCACCTCCTCTCATTCCCCTTCAGCTGTGACCTCACTGTCCAGGACCCTGGCCATGCCCTCCCCTCAACCCTGACCCTGACACCATAGAACCCACAGTGCTCCTCATCACAGGGCAGTCTTGTGGGGAGATACTGTTGCCTCAATAGGCACAAACAGACATTGGGGCACCTTCTGAGCTTCAGAACCAGAGCCAGGCCTGTCCTACACATGTCGCAGACACATACCTGGTTTACCTTAACTTCATTTGGGTCGGTCACTCGGTCCAGGCCGTAGTCCAGCACATCGTTCACCCCGGGCTGAATGGAATAAAGCAACATGAGGATCAGTATGGAGAGAGTCTCCAGTTTCTGGCTCATTTGGGGTCTTGGCCAAGCTGCCTACTGTGAGATCACACTGGAAAGGCTGCAGCTTAGCTCACAGGGTACCGTGAAGGGTGTATATTCTCCAGGGAGCTGGTGAGCTTTATGGGAGCCTTTCTGTCACTACAGCATTCCCAGTACCCAATATAGTGGGATGGAAGGATAGAAGTATGGGTGGGTAGAAGGATGGATGGATGAGAAGATAGATGGATGGATGGATGGATAAGAAGATAGATGGATGGATGGATAGATGGATAGATAAGAAGATAGATGGATGGATGATAGATGGATAGATAGATGGATGGATGAATGGATGAATACATAAGAAGATAGATGGATGGATGGATAGATGGATAGATAAGAAGATAGATGGATGGATGGATAGATGGATAGATAAGATAGATGGATGGATGGATGGATGAATACATAAGAAGATAGATGGATGGATGGATGGATGGATGGATAGATGGATAGATGAATGGATAAGAAGATAGATGGATGGATGAATGGATGGATAGATGGATGGATGGATAGATGGATAGATAAGATAGATGGATGGATGGATGGATGAATACATAAGAAGATAGATGGATGGATGGATGGATAGATGGATAGTTGAATGGATAAGAAGATAGATGGATGGATGAATGGATGGATAGAAGGATGGATGGATAAGAAGATAGATGGATGGATGGATAGATGGATAGATAAGAAGATAGATGGATGGATGGATAGATGGATAGATAAGATAGATGGATGGATGGATGGATGAATACATAAGAAGATGGATGGATGGATGGATGGATGGATAGATGGATAGATGAATGGATAAGAAGATGGATGGATGAATGGATGGATAGATGGATGGATGGATGGATAAGAAGATAGATGGATGGATGGATGGATGGATGGGTGAGTGGATGGGTGGGTGGATGGATGGAATAGAAGATAAAATATTTGTTTAAAAAATATTTGTTTATATGGAATTCAAATTTTTAACTAGACACTTTGTACTGTATTTGCTAACCCTGGTAACTTAGCTCAGGGGGCTACCATGGAGTTGAATATTAGACCTACAGTCTAGACAAAGAAGATACAAAAGAAGCCAACAGAAAATGGAAGGGGAGAACAGGAAAAGGGAGCCACTGTCCTCTCCCTAGTTGTTATAATGACAAATAATGACGAGGTACTTCTTACATGCTAGACATGGCCCTCAGCCCTGGTGGCCCATGGTGAATGCAACACAAGACCCATGCTCTTGAGACATCACCAGTGACATATGGAGGCCCTTCCTTAACTGGTGGTAGCAGAAAGTGGGGAGGAAGGAGATGACAAAGCTACTTAGCAATTAATCATACAAACCATAAATTACAGATGTGGGCCAGCCACCTTGGTTGCAGCAGTTACACAATGCTCCCCGAGGTCAAGGCCACATGGGAAGGTCACAGTTCTTTTCCAGAGGTCTCCCCATGTGTGCTGGATGCATACACATGCCCATGAGCCAGGCTGGCAGAGGTTGGGGGATGGACAGCAGTATGAAGACTCTATTTGGGGGTGCCTGGCTCTCTCTCCCTGTCTTACTCTCTCACGGGAAAAAATAAATAAATAAACTTTTAAAAAAATTATAGATGATATGACCAGCAGATAGAGTAATGGTGACATTGTTAGACTCCCATGAAGTCAACCATGATTCAAGTTCCAGACCCGGCAGCTTGAAACTCACATCAGGTGTGTAAGCGTGCATGCCCAAGATCCCAAGAGAAGAATGGAGGAGAAGGGATTGTGGTGTGGCCATCCCCCCAGGGGATAATTTCTAGCTTTCTGTATCTCTGTCTCTCTCTCTCTGTCTCTCAGCGAGGGCACGTGTTCTATAGAAAATATCTCATATGGGACAAGTGCTGTGAAGGGACAATACAGAGGCTCAAGCCAGCCTGCAGGAGATCTAATCTCTTGTGGGACTGGGTGGAAATGCAGCCATTAGGTTCAGTGCCTTTGCTTACAGAGGGCTCTAAGAGATGATTGGTCCATCTGATATGAGGAAACTCTCCCACTGTAACTGAGGACAGACTTCAGAAACACACACACACACACTTGCATTCACATGCTGTCTTACACACACACCTGCACATGCTCTCAGTCTCACACATTCACACTCATAAGGACATACACTTACACACATTGACATGCATGCACACCCTGGCATGTGCCGTCCATGGTGCCCTCGGGCCCTATCTGGCTGTTTGATGCCTTCCAAGCAGAGGCACTGCCCTCCTTGGCGGTGTCGGTTGTTTGTCTGCTGCAGCCTTGACTTACTTCCCCAGCTCTTGCCCTTGAACTTGCCCCATGTGATAGAAACTCAGCTGCCCCAGTGCTCAACAGCACCCGCATAGTGAAGTTGGTCTAGGATGCCCTCAGCGGCCAGACTGGGCAGCCTTGGATGGAAGACATGTGGCCATCTTGCAGGCTTCATTACTCTACCAGCCTGACCAGACCCAGTCTCCACAGACTGTCTGGGCCTATTCCTCTGGCTGCCCCGCTGCCCAGGCGCCTGCCCCTCTGGGCACCTCTGTAGACAGGAGTCACGGAAGTGGCAGTTCCCTCTCAAGCCAGGGTTCCATCCCAGGGCTTGCCCTCCAACTCCTCCAGGGGGGCTGCCTTTCTGCCTCTGCTGGTTAGTTTGATATTCAGACAAGTGACCAACCAATTTAGAGCCCTGATCACCAGAAAGTAGCCTCTGTCTTCTAGGCCTGAACAATGGACAGATCCTTGGAGGTGTGAAGTCACAGAGGGCATGAGATGCAGGGAAGGCACCCAGATGATTCATCTAAAGGGATCCTGTCTCCCTTCATTCATTTACAAAACTGTTTGTGTAGTGCCCAGATCTGGACTTTGCTCCATTTATGTACAAGTGGGAGAAGAGTATCGTTTTCCTCCACTACTGGATGCTGAATCATGCTGGCATGTGTGCTCAGGATGGAAAGTGGGGCAGATCCCTCAACTACAACCACCCATGTCTAAAACTGGCCTCTTCCAGAGAGGTGCGTCCTGACACGGCACCTGGCAGACATTCTCCCCCTGTGTGAAGTCAGTCCACCCTCACTGCGCCCTGGGGAGCGCTGTTCACCTGTCATGGCAATTGGAATGTTGAGCACCTTGAACTGGGAGAGTCTGCCAGGTGTTGTCAGACATTCACATCCCAGCACCGCACAAGCTACTGGCCCTCACTGAGCCTTGATCTCCTCACCGAAAAACGAGGTGATGGTACTTCCTACTTCATAGCTATGAGGTCGTCTGTGCCAGGAGCCGGACACAGACACCTAGGACTTTGAACTGGTGGAGCCCAGAGCCCAGGGAAGGATTTGTGGTGCAGACATGTACAAGCCGGTGAGTCAGGTCAGTGCCTCCAGGTCGGCTGCTCCACACTTCGCAAAGCCCAGAGCTGTGTCCACCCTAGCTGGCTTTTCTCCCACTGAACTGCCATTTCTTTGAGTCTCCCAGAGAGAGTAACTGTCTGTGAGCTCCTGGGCTTCCTGGGCTTTTTGGTCAGATTGCTACATTTCTAGGCTGAGGTCCCCTGCAAACAGACCTCCATCCTCCTCAGACCAAGAGGCGGGAGGGAGTGTTTTAAGAGAGTCAGGAGAGCTGGGTGCAATGCACTGACCACTGCTCCAGGCTGGACTTTGGGGAGTGGCCCTAAGAGAAATTAGAGCACAGAGCATATTTGGGTCCCAGTAGTGTTACAACTACTCTGAGGATCAGAGCTTCCTTCTGAACTTGGGTGCCCAGGGCTCTCAAAAAGAGATGAGGCACATCTGAGCCCAGGCATTCTGTTTGAGCAGCAGACTCCAGCAATGTTCTAATGACCGCAGAGGTCAGTAAAGGACTGAATCACACCAGACATCATGTGACAGTCATGAGTGGCAAAAGCCTACAGGGCTAAGACAGAGGGCTCTGCCGTCAGCATGTGGGTTTAGATCCTACAGTTCGGTTCACACTCGCTGTGTAACTGGGGGCAACCTCCCTGAGCCCCAGCCCCCTTCTTGGCACAGTGAGAATAACAGTGTCGTCTACACAGGGCTGCAAGGATGAAGTAAGACAGTGCATGTGGAACGCTTAGCACAGCCAGTTCTCAGTTCAGGTCTGCTGTGATGATGAGCAATGACGGTGACAATGGTACTGGTGGAGGTGGAGAAAGTGGAGGCAGTTAGGGAGGAGGGAGAGAGAGGTGAGGGAGGCCACGGAGACACACTGTCACATTGATGTACCGCTGTATCGTGCTGTGAGAAGCCTGCCAGCCACGTGCCTGGCGGGGGTGGAGAGCTCACCCCAGGAGAACTGGGGAGAATGCGGATGATCTGTTTTCCATTTCCTTCCCTATAGGCCTCCTGGTTACAGGGACAGAGGGGAGGAGAGGGACCCTGGAGAGACGATGTGCCCAGGTCATGTATGTGCCTTTGCCAGGAGGGCCATCCTGTTGGCACTTGCATACCATGGAGCCTCTGCTTGTGTTATGAAGCCATTCTTCATCCTGCAAGATGCAGGGTCCCCTCGGTCATGGTTCCTGTGGCCACTGGGGCATCTTGCCGAATGAGTGGCATATCTGCCATTTCCCCTTATCCTCGCAAAGTGAGGTTTTTCTGGAACACACAAAGATATCGCTCCCAAGCTACCAGTGGGGAGGTGTGTGCTTGGCAGTGGCAACAGGACCCTGTGCTCTGTTGCCCAGTCTCCAGGAGCCTGCATCAGGCATCTGCAAACTGTCTCCTCCTGCGGGCAGTCTGACCATCTTGCATCTAGAAAAAGCAACCCTGAAGCAAAGAAAAAAACCAGACTGCACGGGACTCGAGCCCAGGACCTTAGCCCCCACAACACAGAATGTAAACTTCCACACCCATGGATGGAACACCTTAAAGAATCTGTTTTGAACATAGAAAGAAAATAAGCACAGAAAGAAAACACAGCCAAAATCTGTGGGCTTGAAGCTCAAAATTCCATCAGCTTTGGCACGATGCCCAACCCAGTTCACTTTCTGGTTCTGAGAACTCCTGATACCTGCTAGGCAAGGAAACACGTTTATTTTAAACTCTTGAGTTTCCAGAATCTCTTTCATGTGGCCCACCTCCCATGACCCACAGGCAGCACTGGGGTCTGACATAGGAGGAAACTGAGGCAGCAGAGTTTGTCCCAGGAGGTAGCAGCTGCAGCCTGCTTCTCCATGCTGGGGAATGAGGCCACCACCTCCGAAGGATGTGCTGGGACAAGGTACAACAGCTATGCCCAGCTTGCCTCTCTGGGCCACTGAAAGTCCCAAAGCCAGGAGCCACCAGGTAGTGCAGTGGTTAAGGTGCTGAACTCCCACATGCCCGGCTACAGTTTGAGTCCCAGACCTGGTGTCTTGAAAATCACATCAGGTGCATGTCCATGTATGCCCAAAATTTTAGGAGGAGAATAGAGAAGAAGAGATTGTGGCATGGCCGTCCCCCTGGGGGATAATTTCTCTTTCTCCCTCACTGTCTCTCTGTCTCTCTCCAGCAAGTGCACACACCCTATGGCAAAAAATAAAATCAATTAATTAATTAATTAATCCCAAAGCCAGACACACAATGTGCTCCAAGTAACGACAAACTTGGCCCACACTATTCCTTCCTCTGTCTCAGCTGCTGAGGACTGGACCTCGGAGATGGGAAAGAGAGGGCCAAAGACAGCAGGGACAGCTTTGGCTCTGCAGCTCCCATCCGCATGGCTTTTTTTTTTTTTTTTAAATTTGTTAGAGGGCACATGCACTTGCCAGAGAAAGAAAGACAGAAAGAGAACATGAGGAAATACCCTCCATAGGACATGGAAACGTCGCAATCCCTTCTCCTCCATCTCTCCCTCCTGTCGGGATTTTGGGTGTCCATGCACACATGCCTGGTGTGTTTTCCAAGCCTCTGGGTCTGGAACCTTGCAGTCAGCCCTGTGACATCCAGCCACCTTAACCACCAGGCCATGAGCTGACCCTCTCATGACATTTTAATTTCCTATTTTGCAGCCTGCGTTCTTGCTTATTCTTCTAACATTCCTCTCCAAAGCCCCAGTCTTCATGAAAGACAAACAGGTGCCTCCTGCCCTAACAATGACAGGTGGGCCATGACAGACCCCATCCACACAGGCTGCATTTTCCTTCCAGCCGAGAGGCAGCTGGATGCTCCCCCTACCCTGAGCAGCTCCTCCTGCTGAGCAGTTCTAACCCAGAGGGAGATGAGCTGGTGACAAGCATGGCGAGTGTAGGGGGAGGCTCAGGGAGAGACGCGGGAGTCGGTAGGACAGCACTCACCGGGCATCGGTGCACCAGCCAGTAGGCCTTCTCCTGGCAATCCAGCGCATACCTGTCTTCTTTGGTCCTTTCCTTTCCAGTCCTGAAAACCAAAGCCACAGTTGAGGCCAAGACGTAGTTTGTATCTTTCGCTCAGTCATGGCCCCATTCCTGGTGATCTGGACTGCTCTCTCCGTCTGGCCAAATAATGCATATGAACCATAACAGCACACTTGGATGCTGGGTTCCATTCTAACCACTTTCACAGCTATTAACTCATTCAAGCCAATCAGTATTGAGGCAAAGAGGGGCTGAAGGCCTCTCCAGGGCCACATGGTCAGCGAGTGGCAGGGTAGGACTCGAACCCTGGTTGAGCTTCCCTGATAGCCCTGGGCTACAACAAGATGATGACTAGCCTTGATTAGCCCTGGAACCACATCAACCTCACCACCGGAGCGAGCACCGAGGGCCTTCTGGGCTGCCGTCTGAGCACCTGGCGTCGGGATTTCTCCGTGCTTTGGCGAACAACACAAGCAACACCTGGACATGCAGGCAGCAATTTCTGTGACTGTGACAGGGCAAACACTGGCGTCGGGAAGTCCTCTTTCTCTCTACCTGTTGGTTTGACTGTCACCCCAAAGAATCCGTGCCAAGGCAAGGCTTTTTCTGAGCCTAATATTGTGAACGGCAGTCTCCGTTCCCTCTTCTCTCTCAGGCTCCCCTTCCCCATTATGGACAGGAAGTGATGCTGGGCTGTCCTCCTCCAGGAGCAAGGAACACTAATTACCCTGCCGCGGGCCCCAGGCGGAACCATTTCCACGGCGACCTGTCCTCCCGCTCGTTTTCCCAGGCAACGTGGGATGACGCACATGCCCTCTGCACAACAGAGTCGGTGGATTTATTTCCTTGCTAATGTACCGTGAATAACATAATAACATCCAGAGAGCCGGTGGGTGGACGGCGCCATCCCAGTGGGGTGTTTTGCCAACCTCCTCTGAAAATGAAATGTAAACACGATCGTTCCAACTGGCCCTGACAGGCGAGCTGGATTTTCTGCCAGATGAACTAGCCCCAGCCCTCCGAAGGGTGGGCCATGGCGGCGACATGGTTGCCTGTTGGATAGCCTTACTAATGGACTCAATCCCTAATTTACCCCGAGGGTCCTTCCTGGCTTTGCACTTCTCTTTTTTTGTGATAGATGTGATTGAAGGAGAGTTGTGATAAATGGAATCCAAGACAGCCAGTGAGCCAAGAATGATTTAGGTTCATTCTACAGGTTGAACATCTCTAATCTCAAAGTCCAAAATCCAAAATGCTCCAAAAATCCAAAACACAGTAAGTGCCAACATGATGCCAAAAGTGAAAACTTCCACACCTGACCTCATGAGATGGGCCACAGTCCAGATGCTGTACTATTTATTTTAAAATATTATATAAAACTCTCTTCAGACTACATATATAAGGTGTATATGAAGAGTAAGAGAATTTCATATTTAGACTTGGATCCCATCCCCAAGACAGCTCATTATATATGCAAATAGGTGTGCAAATATTCCAAAATCTGAAAAATTCAAAATCAGAGACATTTTTGATCCCCCAAATTTCAGAAAACAGATATTCAACCTGTATCATAATATCTTTTTAACTACATTTGTTTTTATCATTCATTCATTTGTTTTATCATTTATTTGTTTTATCATTCATTCATGGATTTACTGATCTCCCGCCATGTTCCAAGCACTGGGAATATACTGGTGTAGCAAATAGATGTCCCTGACATTAAGCGGCTTTTGGTCTAAACATTACAGAAATAGTCAAGAAATAAATACAGAATTAGAAATTGTGCTATGTGCCGTAAGTAAATAATTAAAGGTACGATCATGCATAATCAAAGATGAATTTTTGTGGTGATTTAAAAATATTTCTACAATTCTTTGACATTCTTTCCATTGATAGATGGGTCTACGTCCCTGCCCCAGGAGGCCAGGTGGGTCTTGTGACTGTTTCAACCATCACAGTATGTCAGGCATGGCACTGTATAACTTTTTTTTCTTGAAAGAGTTTTGCTATAGGGCAAGTGTGCTCGCTGGAGAGTCGAGATAGACATAGAGACAGAAAGGGAGAGATCACCCCCCCAGAGGGGATGGCCATGCTGCAATCCCTTCCCCTCCATTCTCCTCTCGGGATCTTGGGCACGCATGCACACGCGCCTGGCATGTCAGCAGGTCTGGGACTATAACTGAGGTCGACTATGTGGGAGTCCAGCAATGTAACCATGATGCCATCCACTGGTCCCAGAACTGTATACATTTGAGGCTGGGCATAAAGGTGGGACATCTCTCACTTCCCTTGCTGGAAGATGTGCTCTTGAAGCCTCCAACAACCATCTAGAAGCAACCTGACTGCCTCAGTGCTACCATCCACACACAGGAAGGTTCTCAGTTCCCTGAGCATGCTGTGCTCATACTTGCCCATATCTGGAGCTGGTTAAAGGTTGGGGGTATAAGGCAACATCAAGACCCTGTTGGAGGTGTGTCTCTCTGTCTGTCTCTCTCTTGCTCAGCTCACATGCTCAAGGAAGAAATACATAAATGGATTCTTAAAAATATCTCCTTATGGTTCCCAGTGACCCTCAGTACAAGGAACCGCCAGCCATGGGCGCTCTCCTGCCTCCAGGCTCTGGTTCTGCCTCCTTAGAACACCCTTCTGCACACCTCATCCTTCTGTCATCACCATCCTTCTTCACCAGGAAGCCTCCTACACAGCCACCAGGTGCAGTGTCATCTCTGCAGCTCTGGCCCACCTCTCCGTGGGACCTTCATCCCACAGGAACATCGTGGCCTGCTCACTCATCCCCCTAACCTCCTAGAGTGTCTGGGTACCCCCTATGGCTAGCTCCGCATTCAGCAAACCAATGCCCAGTAAAGGTTCATTTTAATAAAAGGAAACAATGAAGGAAGGACATGGGAGGACAGTTTGATCTCCACTCACCTATACTGCTCTTTGGCCTGCATGATAACAAAGTCCCACTTGTAGTTAATTTTTTTGTTCAAAAAATTGTAATTTTCCTAGAGGAGAAAAACAGAATGAGAACATAAGCCCTGTGACATATGCCACATGTAGCAGGACAGAGAAAAATAAAAGAAGAAGAAGAAGAAAGAAAAAACCCTAAGCTACTGAGGACAGGACCCTGACTGCGCAGCAATGGCAGGCCTGCCCAGGGTCCCAAGTGTCTACCACAGTGTTTCCTCAAGGGTCACACAGAATTCTCAAAAAGCCTGCACAGCAAGCTTAATTTCCTTGCTTTTGTTTATTTATTTGTTTAAGTAAATATACCCCCAATCTAATTAGGAAGAAAGGATTAGGGATAAGAAAGAGTAGGGAAACTCAATATTCAACAACAGACCATCACAAATCCACAAAAACAAGTCCTTCTGTGATGTTGGTCCATCTAAAAATATGTTTATTAAGAATAAAAACAAGAGGGAGCAGCAGATGGCATGATGGTTACATCGTTGGGCTCCCATGTAGTCAACGGCGGTTCGAGTCTCAGACCTGGTGGCTTAAAACTCACACCAAGTGTATGTGCGTGTGTGCCCAAGATCCCGAGAGGAGAATGGAGGAGAAGGGACTGCAGTGTGGCCATCCCCTCTGGGAGGTGATTTCTTGCTTTCTGTCTCTCTGTCTCTCCAGTGAATGCATGCATCCTACAACAATAACCTCTTTCCAAAAAAATAAAATAAAATAAAATAAAATAAAATAAAATAAAATAAAAACAATATTGTCACTCTCTCCCAGAAATAGTAGCCCTCTGAGGCTTAGGGTGTGTTCTTTGGGAAGTCTGACTCACCTCGCCTAAAACAAAAGTCTGTACTATTATTTTTCCATCATAAACTCAAGTTCAAATCTGTTAATCAAGGGTTGTCTGGTATAAACCTATTAATGTCCCATAGTGGATGGGGACAGCTAAAAGAAGGTGGTGGCCACTGTGTGCCCAGTAGCCATGGAAGCAAGGGCTTTAATTACAGCAGAAGAAATGGAAGCTAGACATGGAAAAGAATTTCCCGCAGTGAGCTGCTTCTAACTAGACAATGGCTGGATGATGGATGGATGGATGGATGATGAGGGCACATACGAATATAGTTATGGAGAGAAACTGGAAATAAACAGTTCACAACTACATTCCACATGATAGTAATAGACGATACTTGCGAATGCCTCTGTACCTTTTCATATTCTTCTAAAATCCCTTTCTTCTTGATATTTCGCTTGGCCAGATAAATGGCTGGAAAAGAAAGCAATGACATTTCCCAACACCATCATATTTCAGATCCCATCTGCAGCTTCTCTATTTATGTGGCTGCTGTACTCAGAGCGGTGGAGACCAGGCCCTCCCCCTGCCCTCCGCGGGGAACACTCTCCATACAGATGTGAGCTGACATAAAGGTCATGGTGACAGCAAGACAAATGTCACCAAAATGCAACAAGTCAATAAACAGCATGCTACATGCTACCAAAGGCACAAGTGTGGGGGGGATGGCCGGTGGTATGGTGGTTAAGTCACTGGACTTCCACATGGCTGACCATGGTTCAAGTCCTGGACCTGGTGGCTTTCTTTTTCACTTTCCCTTTATTTCTCTCTTTCTCTCCCCTTCTCTCTCTCTCTGATCAAATTTAAAAATTAATAAGAAATACAAGTAAGTAAATAAATAATTATCTAAAAAAAAAAAAAAGGCACAAATAGGAGGGGGCCATTTACCATAATCGGTGTCTTCGGCTGGCCACTGCTGGGTGGGCCAGAAATACGGTGTCTATGAAGGAAACCAGGGAGAGCTCATTGAAACACGGGGCTATAACTCGACGGACCCCAGCCCTAAAACTGAAGAGCTAGAACTGCCTTGACCCCCCTCCACTGTTCCTAAAGTCCTGATCCATGAGGATATGATTCCAACCAATTATCTTTTCAATTATGATCCACCTTACATTAACTCCCAAGGTCAAGGCCAGGACTCACCTGAAATCGGTAGAGGCTGCCATCAGGCTTGAGAATGAGATTCTTGGGGTCTTGCAGCGGGTAAATGTAGCCATACCTGACAATAAAGTTCCCCAAGTTCTGCGCCTCTGGGGAGAATAGTTCAGATAGGGACGTCAAGAGGAAAAGGTCATTGTCCAGCCCCACATGGCACCTCAGACTCCAGGAGAGAGGCCCCACCTAATAGCTCTCTGTCTGAGGTGTGGACACAAGTGCCAACTGGGACGCATGCTACAAGAAGGTCTTCCAAGATCCTGTCCCCAGGAATGACTACCCAGTGAGTCTAGATGGGAACTAGGAAGCTCAAATATGAATGGGTTCCACAGGTGGTATGAGACAGGGATGTCTGGGGAGGCCCTAGAGAACTTTCTATAGGCCCTCTGGGATCTGGAAGAGGCCGCAAGAGTGGGAAGGAAATGTCTCTGTTTGACCAAAAAACACTTCCTCACTCAGAGAGACATGGGGAGGAAAGCCATGCTTATTGTCAACTACTAACCCAAGTTCAAATCTGTCTTCAACCCAAGTCCAGATCCTTCCACTCCTACCCACCTCACTTTAATTCCCTCCCCTCCATTTCATTTGGATATTTCTGGATTTGCATCCATTAAAGGGAACCCTTCCTGATTCTCTCTCAGAAGCATCAATTAAAACAGGAGTCTTTCTATTCTTTAGAACGGACTCCATTCCCTTTGGTCCTTCAGGCCTATCTTGCCCAAGGCCTAACCCACATTCCATTCCATAGCTCAGCTTCCAAGGCTTGGGACAGCTTCCTCTCCAACTGTGCCCCTTCAAGTCCCATCCCTCCAACATAGACCAGGCCCTCAGCTCACGCTTCATTGTACCAACTGCTACTTTTTCTATAATAGTACAAAGTCTGGTCGCTAGATTTTTTCTACTCCAATCCACCTTCATTTGCTGCCAAACATCCTAGCTTACATATGGGGTGTATCGGATACACTGCCATGCTCAAAACTGGCCTGCAGCAGCCAACTGCATATTTCCCAGATAAAACTTGGAATCTGTGAATATGCCAGGTGCTTCCCCCTCCTCACCATCATCCTTCATACCCAGCTGAAGACATCACTTCTGATTTCCCCTCAAAGCCCTGCACTTGGGTTCCTTCCACATCTACATCACCACTCTTGTTTGCCTCCCCTATCAGGAAGACCCTCCAGACTCCCCTTTACCAGTTCATGATCATCACTTCCTTCAAGACCAGGAGTGCACATCATCCCTTCCAAGAAGTCTTCCTCGATCGAGTCCTCCCAATTACATGCTTATTTACAGGCTCTCAATAGATTGTATAAGATCATCATTTTTGTCCCTATCATGCCTTTGCTTTGAATTCTGATCGCTTCACACATAAAGGTGGTGTCTGTCCAGTGAAAATGGGACTCTCTCAGGGACACAGGCTGAGCCTCCACCTAGTTCCCCTGTGGTGCTGTACACACAGCTGTCCTTGACCTCTGAGTGTCAGGTGAACTCTCACCTGGGCTGGAGATCCAAAGTCGCTGGGTGATCCATTGTAGAACGTCACTTCCTGCAAAGCAGAAATGTTTGGTCATTGTCACAGCCTCCTCACATATCCTTGGACCTCCTCACTGTGGCCTGACTGGTCTCCTCCCTGCTCAGCTGTGTGGTCTTGCCCCTTGTCCGTTTTCTGCTCAAAGCCTCCAGCACCCCAGCTCACTCTCTGTTATGTCCAGTCCAAATTCCGCAGCCTGAATGCTCAGGCCATGCATGATCTGACCCCAGCAGATCTACAGCTTAACTACCTCACACACACTCGCTCTTGACCTCTCTCATTGAATGCAGCTTTTACCCTACAACAGTTTGTGCTGGGACTTTCATTCATCAAGCAAACAGTAAACAATAAACCCAAGCATAAGACCTAAGGAGCTGTGTATGGGGCTCGGGATGGTGCTTAGACACAAGAAATCAGAGAGCCAGGATGAAAAATGTAGGCGAGGGCTGAGGGCAGAGATTGCTCTCCTGCACCCTATGTTCCCAGGCCAAACTCTAAGGAGTAAGATAATTCTAAATGCTACTGGCCTTGCTGGTCATTAGGGAGGTCCTTCTGTCAAAGTAAAAGGAGGGGACCTTGGTCAGGAACACTGGGCAGGATTTATAACTTTGGATGTGGGAAGAAGAGTTCTACATGTGCTCTTCCTGGGGCCCGCACACCTGAGAGTTAGCCTGGGAATGAAGCAGACTGAAGACAAAGACTAGCATGAAACATGTGGGGACAAGCTCAGGATAGGAGGTGCACCTTCCCCTGGAAGGACTCGGATTTATCTAAGGCCAAGTGTCCCCACCAAGTCCAGAACTGCCACAGGGCCTCCCAGAAGTGCTGAGCTCCCTCTCAGCCTGAGCCCTCTGGCCTCAGAAGCAGAAGCTCTCTGTAGGACAAGGGCAATAGTACCACAGAAGAAAGATGAGGTGCCCTGGAGCCAAGCTCCCCAACTCAGACGTTACCCTGCAAATGCCGATGACCACATTTCCCAGCAAGCTCAGTCTGCTTTCCAAAGGCCAAGCTGGGTCCCTGCTTCCATGGAACTGGCCCACAAAACACCCAGGAAGAGGGTCCTTATGGCTGGACTGTCACAAGTGACACTTCCTTCTTTGGAAGCAGTGAAAGGACGTTTCTATCGATACCCTCCAGGGAGGGCCCTGGTGGCCCATGCACACAGCTCACAGGTTGTAAGGACAGCCTGTGACTCTCCCGTCACATTCACACCCTGGGGCACAAACATTTAGCCATCATCTCTGCTGGTACCCACAGGGCCACCTTTATTACTTTCCATAGGTTCTCTTCCTGTTGCTTGTAGCTTTATTCACCCCCATGTTCGCTGTGCAAAAGCAAAATTCCTCATCTATAATCCTCCTAAAACCCTAGACCTGAGTGTTCAGACTCTGCACCCCAAGGCTCTTTCTAAATGCAATGCAGCGGCATGCAAACTCAGAAGGAGACCAGGCAGAATCAGACGGATGAGCTTCCTCCAGCGAGGAGCCGAGGGTTCTCTTATCCACTTGACTGCTTCCCGAAATAGACCAAATGAGATTCTGGTGCCACTGGCATTTGTACCACATGGTCTGTGCTGACAGAGCAGCGGGCTGCTCAGGCTCGCATATCCGTCACCTCTGTCCCCCGGAAGCCCTAGGTCACCTGCTGTCCGAGACGTTGGATGGTGATTTGCTTTTATTGGTGTTGATGATGCAGGATCAGAGGTTCTCCCCGAACACTGTTTCTACGGAAGCTGGGGTAAGGGGAAGCAGGGCAGGATGGGCAGCCTCGCCCACACCCAGGCACCAAGCAGGCCCGTGTGCAAGAACAGAAAGCAGCTCCCACACACTGAGAGCAGACGAGAGTCTGGACTCTGGGGCCACAAGGCTGGGCTCAAATCCAAGCTCACCGACGAAGGAGCTCAGTGACATGAGGACAGGTCACTGAACTTCTTAGCGTCTCCATGGCCCCATCTGCAAAAAGGGAACGGACACGTCAACCCTTCTGTTTATTGTGGGTGTTGGCAGACACAGCACAGGAGAGTGCTAGCCGTCGTCCCCCTTCGAGACTCTCCTGCCTGTTGAGAACCTCCAAGCAGGATCTTGTTTAATTCCTGAAAAGTTCTCTTTCTTAGGGATTGCTAGTCCCGCTTTTAAAATGAGAAAATTGAGACTAGGTCAACACTGACAGAAAAAGGCCCCCCAAGGATTCTGTCTCAGGATGCCCAGTTCAATGCCCCGGGCTCTTTGCACCATGCTAGACCATGGTTGTTTCACATATTCGAAAAACTTTCATCACCTCCTTTTATAAACACAGCTATGACAAGCATTGGAGTCACCCCGATGAGCAAGACAAGATTCCTCCCTAGGAAGGACCCCCTCCACCCAGTGGAGAATTTGGGTCAGAATTAATGTAAACTGGATGCAGGGCAAAAGGTAGGCATGAGAATACCTTCTGGAAAGATTATGGGCCAGCAGGGTGTACGGCCTACTGCGGGGTAAAAGCTACCAAGGCAATATGTGATTGGGTGGACGTAACGTGTTCTGATAAAACTTTATTCATAAGCACCGGCCCGGGATCGTAACTTGCCAACCCTCTCGTAGTGTCTGTTTCAGGCCAAGACTAAGCTGCCAACTGCATCACCTGTCATGGCGTGCGGGACACTGGTGACCAGGACTTTCTGGTTCTGCATTTTGACACCTGTGTCCGGGTTCTGCATGTCCTTCACGAGCGCTTCAATCTGCAAGACAGAACAAGAAAAGCAGGCTGACCACAACCAAAGAGATACCTGGTGCAGGAGCCGGGGTGGGGCACTGGGTAACTGAGTAGCAGTACTACTGAGTAATAGCTCCCCCTTACCCACGGTTTCAGTTACCTACAGGACCACACAGTAATATATACGGAGAGATCAGGAAACCACATTCACACAACTTTGACTACATCATATTGTTAGAATTGTTCTTTGTCTGTTTTGAATTTGCTATGGGGTGCATGCACTCACCGAACAGAGAGAGAGAGAGAGAGAGAGAGAGAGAGGAAACACCCCCTGGAGGGATAGACGCTCTGCAATCCCTTTCTTCCATTCTTCTCTCACGGGATTTTGGGTTCATGAGCACACACACATGCCCAGCATGTGTTCCAAGCCGCAGGGTTGGGGCTCATACCTCACAGTCAGCCATGTGGGACCCTGCAACCTTAACCATCATGCTCCCAGCTGACCCTGTTCTCATTCTTCTCATATTGTCGTTCATCTCGTGCTGTGTCTAATTTATGAATGAACCTTTGTCATAAGTACGTTGCACAGGGAAAAAATGATAGTATACACAGAGTTTGGTACTGTTTGCAGTTTGAGGCATCTGGTGGGGGCCTGAGGGACACACCCCTGCAATTTAGAGGAGACTAATATATAATGTAACCAGAATCAAAAGCGGGCTTCATGTACAGACCCCCCTCCCTGTGTAAGAGCTCTGAAGACTCTTTTCAACTTGGAGATTCTGGAAAAGCTTTAAAGAGAAGAGGAGGCTTAACACAAAGGATCTGGCTGGACAGAACACCACAGGTGAGGCTTGAGAGGATGACAGTGGCCTTGAGTGTGGGAGGGACAGAAGATGGCAAGAGATAAAGGGGGACGAACAGGTAGAGAACAAACCACAACCGACTTCAAAGGCCACTCCAGGAATATGGCTTTTATTCCAGGGGCTATTGTTGGAGGCATTTTGGAAATGTGGCCGTGACAGAGAACACTGAATGGTGGAAAAATCTGGCATGGCAGAAAAAAGTGGGGAGATCCATTCAGTTACCGCAACAGACAGGGCAGGAAATGATGGGCTTCCACCCTTGTTACCCACCCCTGCCCTCAGTGTATTCTCAGCAAAGCAGTCAGGTGAGTTTTCCAGATAGATCAGAATGCAACACTCCTAAGCTCGCCCATCACACTGCAAGGGACATTTCACCCAGAGCAGATGACAAAGCTCCCCCACTGGTCCACGTGAGTGTGACCCTTCCTCTGTGACTCTCTGGAAACTTCTCCTCACTGGTTCCCTTCGCTCCAGACACACTGGTCACCTGACAACTTCCTGGCTATGTCACACACGCTCTTCACTTGCTTCAAAGCCTGTGTTCTAGCTGGTCCTACTGCCTGAACCAATCTGTTCAAGAAAGCTACTTGGAAGGCTAGTAGATGACATAGCGGTTTCGTCACTGGACTCCCACATGGCTGACTGTGGTTTGAGTCCCAGATTTAGTGGCTTGAAACTCACACTGGGTGCATATGCACGTGTGCCTGAGATCCCGGGAAGAGAATGAAGGAAAAGGGATTGTGGCATGGCCATCCCCCTGGGAGGTGATTTTTCACTTTCCCTCTCACTCGCTGTCTCTGTCTCTGTCTCTCTGTGGTGAGCACACCCATCTTAAGGCAAAAACCTCTTTAAAAAAGAAGAAAGAAAGAGAGGAGAGAGAAAGAAAAAGAAAAAGAGAGAGAAAGAAAGAGAGAGGGATAAAGAGAAAGAAAGAAAGAAAGAAAGAAAGAAAGAAAGAAAGAAAGAAAGAAAGAAAGAAAGAAAGCAAGCAGACAAGCTACTTTCTCACTCTCTCACCTCCTCATCTAGATATTCTCAGGAGGGTCATCCTGTCCATCTGACTTAAACCACAACCCTAAACTCCACCTTGGCATTACTGACCCACTGCATGATTCTTCTATAACACCCACCTTCCAACATATAAAATAATTGATCTATTTATTATATTATTTATTGTGTATCTCCCCCTTGCTCCTAGAAAGAAGGCTTTTCAAGGGCAGCTCCTTCATCTGCTGTGGATTTCTGCTGAATTCCAGGTAACTTAGAAGAGTGCCTGGCACATGGTGGTCCTCAAGACAGTTGATACATGGTTAATAAATAAATGAAGGCAGAGGCGACAAGACTGGTAAGGAGCCATGGCTTTCCTAGTGGAGTGGGAATGAACTGAATTTGCAAGTGATCAGATGGCACAGAGTATTGCCAAGATTTCTAACTTATATGACCAAAGTTGCCAGTTCCCAAAATAGGAAATGCAAAAGAAGGAGCACCTTCTGGAAGCAGACGTTGGCTTCAGAATGTTGACTATAAAAGGCTGCTGAGATGCTTACCGTGTCTGCCAGATGATGGAAACGACTCACCCGGTTCAGAAGAGATAAGAGTCAGAGATACGGACCAGAGAGTCACAAATATTGAAGACGGAGTTGAAGGCAAAGAGAATCAATGAACTGTCACAAAGACAGACCTGGTTGTCTTTAGAGTAATTTTAAATTGTTTTATTATTAAAATATTTTTTCACTTGAAACATTAAATGGAAATAAGATCAGCTGAAATAGATGGGTTTTCTTTAGAATTATTCATTTTATTTTATTTATGTATTCTCATTTTTAATTTGCTATAAGGCACATGTGCTCACCAGAGAGAGAGAGAGAGAGAGAAAACGTAAGAAAGCAAGCCACCAGGTCCATGACTCAAACTGTGGTCAGCCATGCTGGAGTCCAGCACTCCAACCACCACACCACCTGCTGGCCCTGAATTGAAGTACATGTTAAAACCCACCAGATTTTTGACACTAGTCATAAAAGTTAGCTGGGGTATTTTCTTGTCATTCGGTGTTTGTGACTGATGTTGACAAAACCTCATAAGCAGAAGTTTCAAGCTTCATGTTCCCCAGGACAGCCCTTGCTAATGAGGAAACTGTCCTCTTCCCCTGCCTTAGATGTCCCTAAACCCAAGGAGCTCACTATCTAGTGCAATGATATCATAGGACAGTACGATAGCGAAGGTGGGGCCACAGGATCACGTGACCACAGCGGCACTTAGCGCTGGCAGGAGGGCGGGTCTCCTGAAGTGAGTCTTAACAGGAGGAGTAGGAACCGGGCAGTGGAAAGGGGAAGTGAGGGTGGCAAGGACACCCAGGCCGTGGAGCAGCAGGAGCCAGCAAGTGGGAATGAGGCCCCTCCTGCCTCCACCCAGCTCAGAGCTCTCTGCGGTGGACTGAATGCTGTGTCCAGCCGACATACCTTCATGGGGACTGCACCTTAAACCCAATCTGCCCACATTCTAGTCATTACCAAGGGAAAATGCTCAATGGCTCACCTGTTCCCCCTCATTGTAACTTGGCTACATCATAATTATTCTTTTGCCGTTTAATAAAACACCACCATACTGCCCATTACAATGAATAAAGTCCTTTTACTGTTTGAAGGTGCGTGCAACCCAAAGAAAGCCTAAGGTTCTCATGACCTCAGTAGGGTCTCATTTCTCTACTAAACTGAAGGATCTCAATCAACTCACTTACCTCTCTGAATCTTTCCATACCACGAAACGAGGACTGTGATATTAAATGTCCTTCTAATTAATACAGCTTTATAATCTCAGAATCAAATTACCTGTGTAAAAATGCTCTTTAAGAAGAGATAAATGTTACATACACATAAATAATAAGTAAGCATAAATATATACGTTTTATAAGTAGAGATGTATTCATTGTCATAGTTAGGATCATTAATATTAGTAGCATTTGAATAATTAATGCATTTTTGAAACTTTGCAAGCAGGGCTGTGTTTAGATGCCCAGAAACAGAAAACCGTATCTTACTAACAAAACAAATCTAGGTATTTACTGAGCATGCATTTAAGTGTTTAGCACTGTGAAGACATAATGAACTAGATAAAAAAAACATAGCCCCGGTTCTCAGAGAGTTGGGGAGACAGTTACATGAAAATAAAAAGTTAACTAATACGAAAGCTGGGGATGTGGCTGCAGAAAAAACTCAGTTCACATTCGTGCTCCAATTTGGAAGCTCAAGGCCTTAGGTAAATTGCTAAATTGCATTAAGATTCATGTCTCTATGAAATAGAGATTACACTAGTACCTACATCAGTATAGGGATGTCATCAAGATGAAATGGGATTAAGTATGTAAAGCACTTGGTATCGTGCGGTGTGCAAGGTATTTACAAGACAGCAATTGCAGAATGAGATAAACCAGAAAGTAAGGGAGCAATCCACTGGAACAAGAGCCAGAGGAGGAGGATGACTGAGATGGTCCCAAAATGATGTGTGTACAGGGCAAGCAGGATCTCCTTCAGTGGTGAGGACCGGACTGTACCCCGAGTGAGAAGACCCGGGCTTCTCTAGGTAGAAAGGCAAAGAGATTGAAATTGGAACCCTCACACACTGTCAGTGGAAATGCAAAATAGTGCGGCCACCATGGAAAACAGTATGGAGGTTCCTCAGAAAACTCAAAAATAGAACTACCGTAAGATCCAGCAATCCCATTTCTGGGTAGACATCCAAATCTCAGAAGCGAGGTCTGGCAGCGATACTAGCACTCCCACTTGCAGCTCTATTCCCTTTAGCCGAGTTGTGGAAATAACCTAAGTGTCCGCAGAGGGAAGACTAGATAAAGAGACGTGGGGTGTACAGACAATGGGGCAGTGTCTGGCCTGGAAAGGATTCCGCGATTTGCAACATGAGTGAGCCTGGACAGCATTACACCAGTGAAATAAGCCAGTCACGGGAGAAGAAATTCACACGACTCCACTTACATTATGTACCCAAAATGGGCCAATTCACAGACTCGAAGAGTGAAATGTTTGTTGCCAGGGTTTGGGGAAAAGGGAAAATGGAGAGTTGCTAATCAACGGGCTTGAAGTCTCAGTTAAGTGAAATGAATAAGTACTAGAAATTGGCTGTCCAAAATGTGCCTACAGTCACCAAT